GGAGGAAATTCTTTACTCAGAGAGTGGTGAGGCACTGGCACAGGCTCCACGGAGAGCTGTGGGCACCCCATCCCTGGAGGTGTTCAAGGCCAGGTTGGATGGGGCCCTGGGCTTCTTGATCTGGTGGGTAGGCAGCCCTACCCAGGGCATGGGGTGGGACTGCGTATGCCTCTCCAATATAAGCCTTTGTATGATTCTATGACTCTAGTCTGTGTTTTAGACTGTAGAGAAACTGGCAGGCAAGCAGGGCTATGCAGTGTGGACATGCTCATTTAGCATCAGGTCCATTCTTTGGCTCTGTTTTGCTTACGATAAAAGCACCACCTTTCTCAAAAGCTAATTTGTTCTTGCACATCTTGGCATAGAGTTGGAGTTGGCAGTAGATGCTTGGCGCCTTGCTGTTGCACAGAAAAGGCTGAGGCTTGCATCTTCTGAGGAAAATACGAGAGAGGTGGCCAAAGATTCATTCTGGCTTCCTGGAAGGCTGTGCAGCCCCTTACAGGAGCTCCTGTTTGTATGCAGAGATCACCTTAGAGAGCTGTCAATTAGGCAGCTGTCAGTAGCAGCTATGCCCTTTGCTTTTCACCTAAACAGGATGATTAAGAACGGTTCAGCTGAGTTCCCTGGAGCTAAGGCAGAGACAGTGAAGATTCCCTATTCTACACTGATTCTACAGATCTCTTGTCAGACATCAGAAGTGCCACTTAAAGCCTCACTTTTGTCAGCTATACTTGCCTACTCATAGAATCAGAGCGCAATACAGTGCTGCCTATTGGACAGGCTTCCATGCATGAATGCTGCTGATGCAAGTATGGCTTCACAGACAGCAATCTCTTGCTTGGCTTCCAGTGCACTTGTACAGCCCAGTGGTGTCTTCCCAGCCTGGAAGTGGACCCAGCAGGAAACAAGGAGAAATTGCTGTCCATTCAGCCTACTCCTTTCTTCAGTATATGTATTTGGTAAAAAGGGGCAGGCCATAATTCTCATACACCTGCATTTATATAAGCTTGCTTCACATGCCACTGATAGATATGATTGGCAGGGGAAAAAGCCTGATTTAGCTAGGGCTTCTTTCTAAAAATAGGTAATCAATTTCAGCTCAAGCATCTCAGGTTATAGGAAAAGAAAATGATTTTGCTTGGGCACATAATAAGCTTGGATAATCAGTTTTCCTGCATAAAAGCAATGAATCCAAGTGTTTAAAAGAAAAGGAATCTTATTAAAAGGGGTAAAAATGGAAACTCAAAATGAACAGTGGAAGGTCCATTTACGGAAATCACCAACAGAAACTGAAAGCATCTTGGTAAAGTAACCCACTCCCACATTTTGCTGGGAGTTAAGAGAGTCCCTTGTTCCTGTGTAAGGAAATGTTGTTCCTAAACCTCTCCTTGTTGTTCTCAAATGCAGCGATTCTGTCTTTGATGCTGGGCCACTGCTTTAGCCCAAGAACCTTGGTTCACAGTCCTCAAACTTCCTCCTCAATATTTCAGATCCTCGGGGAAGGAGTCATTGGAAGCAAAATCCAAAGATAACCCTCAGAAAATAAAAGAAAAAAATTTACATTTCTTCCTCCATAGCTCCTTTGTTCTACAGGTATCGGCTACACAGGTAATTCCTGATGCTCAAACATTATTCTCTCCTAGTGAGTAATGGTGTTTTAAATATCTTCCAACAGAAGACACAATTGCATTTCAGTCCTAGTGTTCAAGACTGAAATCCACTGAAGTCAATTCACTTGGATTCTCTTTGTTGGGATTTCCAGCCACTTTGGGATTTTTCTTTTATCCCATTATAGGCAGGATGAGCAGTAAGTACTCCATTCCTTTAGGAATACCGGGTTTATCTCAGGAGAGATGTAGCTCTGAATTTAAGCTTTATTTCAGTGCAAGCTTTACAGTATAGTGAACTTATAGCAGGGTGAAGACTTTGATAAGAGCCCTTGCACTGACTTCTTACAATTGTTACCATTTATTTAGTGAGCCATTCTAAATCATTTGCAGTGGAGATATCGGAGATTGGAATCATTCAGCATAGGACAGGATAGGTAGAGTGCTGAATGAAAAAATGTTGGCTGGAGAACAGAAAATCTTTCTTATCAGTGATTTCCCCCAGAACTACTTGTTTCTCAATTACAGGGATGCATAAACCTAAACTAGGAAATACCATTTACTTCAGGAAAAACTAGAAAGGTAGGAGAATTACAGAATCATAGATGAATTGGAAGGAACCTTTAAAAGGTCGTCTGCTCTAACTCCCCTGCAATGAATAGAAACACCTACAGGTAGATCAGGGTGCACAGCCTCTCCAGCCTGACCTCGAATGTCTCCAGGAATGGGGCATCTTCCACCTCTCTGGGCTGCCTGTCCCAGTGCCTTACTACTCTTATTGTAAAAAACAAAACAAAACAAAACTTTTTCCTTATATCCAGTCTAAATCTCTTCTTTTTTAGTTTAAGACCATTTCCCCTTGTCCTATATAGAACCTTGGATGTAATTGGTCTCTTTAATTTCAAATTGCTATAGTATGGTTATCTGTGTTTCAAGCATATTAACTGTTTATAGATGTCTGAAACAGCACTTAAATAGCTATTTTGGTAAGCAGTTTAAGAAAGCTAGAGAATGATCCATTTTTTTTTGTAAGCTCTTGCCTGCAGATAAAACATTGGCTCACAGCTGCCACCCCATGATAAGACCTGGTAAAATCACTGAAATGCATTGCAAAGTGCTTAGTGAGACTGTACAGCAGAGACCAACTAATTTCTCACTGTATAAAAAGGGCAATGGAAAGCCATTTCCCTTTCCACTTCTTTTCCACTCCTCTTCCCCAACATCTGCATAGCCCACCACTCATTGCCTTACCTGTAATGAGGTCTTTTCCTTAAGAAATTTGTTTTGTTAACTTGTTAATTTTGCTTTTCTTTCCCTTCTGTATTGATCTTCTACTGATCGAGTGGAATTGGTTCAAAGTATTGGCAGGTAAGCAAGCAAGAATGAATGGCTGAGAGGATATGAATGGGTAGAAGGGAGAACTTCAGCTGTGATAAGAGCTTATTTCAGACCAATTCTTGCCTACTTGCATCTGACATTCTATTTGGAGATACCAAAACTGGCTTAAAATATGCATGTTTGGGTGCCCAAAGCAATCCAGTCATCATGGAGTGCCACATAGTAGTGTTCCTAGCCAAGATTCTGGCTAAATTATTCTGTTCATCACTCAGAAACTTCAAGTACTCATTGATTCCAGGAGCTGAGCTGTCTCCTTGAAAGCCATCTCAGTTATCTCGGCAGCTTTTGATGTGTCAAAGTGTTTGCCCCTGTCTCTGCTGTCATTTGGTGAAGCATGGAGATGAAGGGGAATTGACACGTGTGTGTTTAGTTGGCATCAAACAGCTGCCACCCATTCAAGTTCACTATACAATGTCAACTATTTTGTATTATTTAACTGCTTATAAATACAATATTTTATTTTATAGGAAGCATGCAAAATGACTTTGCTGCTCTTTGCTGTGGAAGGCAAACAAGTTGGTTTGTGACAGCATGTAATGATACAGCAAGACCTTCCAGTCTGTTTTCCTTCTGATCAAGTCTCTTCATTAGCCTTTCATGGGTAGCAAAGTGCATTTTCTCCAAGCTGTCCAGTAATTCTGCAGTCTGTCTGCTCAGACGTTAGGAAGAGAACTGTAAAGTCTGTATGCTGATTCAGCCCACATGTTATGTCTTGTGTGTGTATTAGCTAACCATATCCTGAACTGCCTACTTTCAGTATGCCAAACAATATTGGTATATTTCTGTTTATGTTTACTGGATTAGGACTTGTCCCATGCACTGTTTCAGAAGATGGTATTTATTATGGATACACATTGGTCATTAGTGACAGATGAACCCAGAACAGGGTGTTCCTACAGAGCAGTGCAATGTATGATGCTATGAGGCCTCCCTTCAGCCCCCTCTAATCTGGGCTGAACAAACCAAGAGACCTCAGCTACCCCTCATGCATCTTGCCTTCCAGACCATCTTTGTAGACCTCCTTTGGGCACTCTCTAATAGTTTTATATGCTTTTTATATTGGTGCCAAAAACTGCATGCAGTATTTGAGATAAGGCTGCACCGGTGCAGAGCAGTTCATCCTTCACTGCTTTTATGCAGTCAGCGTATTGTTACCTAATCCCCAACCAATGAAGGGTAGAGTAAAAATCTTAATTCTGCCCCCAAACAGGATGTATCACTTAATGGAGTAGCAGTCTTTTAAAACTGTGAAAGTTTGGAACCAGAGGGGAAGAATCAGGACATCGCTATTTCCAGACATGAATTGCTGGACTGAACTGGTACAGCTTATGGAGCTGGAAGGACCAATCCTGCAGTAAGGAGCAACAGGAATCCCCAAACACTCTACATGTCTGGCAGCATTCAAGCATCTTGGTGATCCTAGGTTATTGTTCAGATACACTTTCTGAACTTCAGATTATGCAGACTGTGTGGTAGATGCATACATGTCTGGTGATGGTGCTTCTCTGGGAGATTGGGAAAGGGCTAGGATAGAGGAGCACAGTTTATGAGAGTTTTAGTAGGGGTCCATTTACACTGTGGATTCAGGGAGGGTGACATTCAAAAGCTCTGCTCACTTCCACCTGCACTTCATTCTCCCTGTTGTCCTCTCATACCACTCAGTGGGATTCCTGGCCCTGCATCATTGGTCCTACTCCATCTTATGAGCTTATATGGCCTTGTCTCACTACCACATCCATCTACTCTCTAAAAAGGAATCTACTTCACACCTAAGTCAGGCCCGCTTTACCAGTGACCATCAAAGGTGGGTGGGTGTGTGTATATGCATTCCTTTGATGTATATATACCATTCCTTTGTGTGTATATATATATATATATACATATATATATATGTATATTTGCATTCAGATTTATCTTGCATTGCTCTCTCAAAGACACTCTACCCAACAGTGAAGGAGAGCAACAGAAACAAATCTGTAGCAGACTATTAAGCAATGGGTTGGTGCTCTACGTGGAGGTTTATTAGGTGGTTGAGGAAGAAGATCATGTAGTGAATGTAGTTCAGTACTTCATCTTCTAGGGCTTGACTTTTTTCTTCCCATATTTATCCTCCAATGCTTTCTGCAGGTTAAGATTTAAGGCATTTTTCTGATGCCACCTCCCTGTAAAGAAGAAAATAATGGTTCAGTTACAGCCTCCCTTCTAATGCTGTTATTCCTCAGGGATTTTTCTAGTTGCAGGAAATCCTCTCTTGTGTAAATGCCAATTTGTAGTCCCCATCTTTGCCCGGATTCATCCATTACCCCTGACAGAGGCAGCACCCTTCTCAGGAATTCAGCAATGTACTTTTCCTGGCAGATTCCATACCTAGGTCATCAATCCTCCTTCCATGCCAGTTCCTGGGATCCCTGGTTGCCTTCTGAAGTACATCAGGGGTGTAGGAATCTTTCATTAAACTTCTGCTTTCCAGTGGGCCGCCTACAAGGAACAGCAAATGAGGAAATGTATGCAGATATCACCCTAATGCAGTCCTGGAATTGAAGCAGAGGAGCAACACCAGCAATTTCAAGGGCACAGGAAAAGTCATGTGTTGACTGCAATACCCTTGATCAGATTTGTGGCTCGGTGCTGAATAATAGTTTCATCATCACCCAGGAGGGAGCTTATGTTTGCCAGTGTATCTGCTTTTCATTCTTAAGGATGAAACATGTTTAGAGGGTACAGCAAGGGTATCACCTTTATTTGTATCCCAGTGCACTTTCTTTACTCAAGTGCCCACCTGATCTCCCTTTGAATCTCCTCAACCAAGTGAGTAGCTTCCTATTCAACATTACAGCTCCACAAAAAGCACTATAGCACCACTCCAGCACCACTGCCTTCCTGATTCTGCCGTAATACTTAAAATTAACTCCTAACTGTGACTTCTCTGTTGACCGCCTCTTGACTTCTGGCCATTTGGGGAGCATTATTTTTATTCTCTCCTTCTCAGTTTCCTTTTTATTGTACCCTCTCCTTAATAATAATAATTTTGAGCTTCCTGGGAGAAGATGTTCCTCCTTTCTATGTGACAAAACCCAGGACAATGTAATCTCCAATACCTAACAGAGGTTTGAGAAGACATTTCAAAGGCCCATATCTCTAAATAATATCTCTAAATATCTTGAAGATAAGTAATGTTAGTATTGAAAATTGAGGTAATTTGAGACAAGAGATGACAGGGCACATTGAATTCCAAATGGTGTTCATTTAGCACTGAACAGGGAGAACTGGGGTCATAATACAGCTTCAATTTTCATGCCTTGGAAATTAAAGGGGAGAGAAGAAGAGAGGAAAGAAGTATGTAGAAAGGGAGGCTCTAGCTTTCATTTCTTGAGGAAGGAGTGACTGTGCTTATCAAAGAAGTAAGAGGTCAGACCTCTGTCCAAATCAATGCAGCTGCTCTGAGCCCAGGCACAACACAGACAGAACCAGCTTGAAGGTCAGGTATAGTACAAGCATCCCTTACCTTGGAAGATATTTGACCTCAGGTTGAAACCCAGCTCATTGAAATCACCGAATGACTCCAACTTTTTTTTTACCACCTCAGAGCGGTCACTGAGTCTTTTCTGTCCTATGACGAGTGCTGTCATGCACAGAGACCGCCGCTCCTGAAAACACAAACAGCAAGGAACAATCATCTTTCAACACTCCTTACATGCAAGAGACTCCTGGCATTTCCATCCCTGCATAAGCTTTTCAGCTACAACAAATCCCTTGGACTTGACTCTGCCCTTGAGTCTCCTTCAGCAGTTTCTGTATGCACTGTAATTGCATGGGACATTTGGAAATGGTAAAATAGGTGCAAATCAGAAAGGAAGAAGGGTGTTGGGCTCTGGATTGGGTCCAGGTGCCACCCTGTTTCACCTTGCTGAGCTATTACTCTGCCTCCCTATGGGAACTTTATAATGAAGGGGTGATGGAAAAACAAAATGGAAAAAAAAAAAAAAAAAAAAAAAAAAGATGTGAAAGGCTGTCTGTGGAACACGTCACTTTCCCTTACTGTGAAGCCCCCAAACTATCCCTCTCTCTGTCTTCTAGAAACTGCTAATATGTCATGCTGTACCATAAAACATCCTTCAGTATGCCATAAAGGAGACGTAAAACATCTTTCCTCAATACCTCTTCATTGCTGTTAAGTTCATCTGCACAGGCAAATTTATTTTTGCTGTTGTCACAGGTCAAACTGTTTTTCTTCTCCAGAGGCATCTTCCACTCTGCTTTTGTATCTGGCGCTGTTGATGACAGGGACTCATTGGTCTCCTTGTCTTTTTCACAGCTGGTTTTGATGGTCTTCCACAGAGATCCAGGCATTTTAGAACCTGGGGTTTGCTGCTGGCCTGCTACTAACTCTTTGCCATTGTGCATGGATTTGTTGTTCTCTGCTTCTGTCTGCCTGGATGCTGCAGACAGATGGGAAATGCTGTTCCTGCTTCTTGGCTCAAGCCTTGCCCTTGGGTCTTTGGTGGCAGAAGTATCTTCTCCTTCCTCTTCAAGTCTTCTTGAATGATGATTCTGCATGTGGGGAGTTTTAGCTTGGAGATTCTGTTTACTCTGTCTTTTATTCTGAATACCCTTTGCAGAAGGAGATGCCTTGGATTTGATATACGTGGAGTTCTTCATTGTTCCCTGAGCTGCTTGGTTCTTGCAGGAGACTGCGCTGGAAGTCTTTTGGGATGTTCTCTGTCTGCTGGGACTTACGCCTGCTCGAAGATGCTCCTTTTTCCCTTCCTCAGGTTCCACTTAAAGACAAAAGGCATAGCTCAGTGAACTTGATAGCGTCTGGATGATTGATAGGGGGTAACTTAAATGGAGCTGGAAAAAACCCAGCATGTCACTCTGTCATTGGCAGACAACAAAAGAATTAAAGTCTCAAAGAGAGAAAGAAAGCAGAAACGAACAACAGTAGACTTGTGTCAAATTTCATGCTGAACCAGAAGGTGCCTGAGGAGTCTTAAATGTTTTTGATACATGAACAGGCACAGAAATATGCAAGTGAAAGTCTTGTGGTCAGACATGCACGCACGTGTAGGTAGCTTTTCCAACTCATGATCATTGCCACACTCATGAAGATCCATTTAGTGTCTGTCACTCACTGGTATTTGTTGATGAGTTTACTGAATAAGCAGCAGCATACTGCATAGGGAGATAGGGAGACAAGTTGGGGAAAACACAATGAGGGATTTTAACCCACCAGCCTCCTCAGGAAGGAGAGAGGGAATGACACACTGCATCACAAGCTGTACTGCAAAGCAAGCTCTGGAGGAGGGACAGCTTCACTGCCATCTTGCTTACCTGATGCATTGCTGGTAGGCACATAGTCACTTTGGGCCACATCAAGTCTGGGGGATGTTGGGACCTCTGTCGTTGCCTTAGAAGAAAAACAAATGCTGTGTCAGGTGCAGAGAAGGGAATTAAGGGAATGGCCTTGCTCATCTGCTCATCTTTTGGTGACATACTTTATTCTTAAGCAAATGGAGTGTAGCTAATTTCACTCAAGTGAACTCTGTGAGAGGTTAGAGCTGAAGCCATGCTCTATGATGGTGAACAAGTTTTTTGTGAGTCTGTCAGCAATACAAGACTGATCAAGCAGGGATATACATCTGCATTTGTCAAATGAGCTCAGGGTATGTCATATATGCTTAGCTTCTGCTCTCTTTTTTGGAAAACAGACACCAGCTGAGGGGGTAGGAAGCTGCTTTGAAGTTAGCTCATGGGAACAAACAGGGCTGATCTGAGCCAGCAACTTCTTCCACACCTCACCAGTACTTTGCAGCAGCATGGCTGGTACAACATTGGGATCATGAAGCTGGACCCACTGTGTAAGTCAGACTCCAAGTGTAAATGCTGCGTGCTGTGCAAATGTGGCAAGAGAAATAACTTCTTCCACAAAGAGAAAAATGCCTTGATACACAAAGAGAGTAGCCCTGACTCATGTGGTGGCATTAGCTTCTTTTTTGTATTGCTTTTAAAGAAGAGCTAAACATTCAAACATGTGTAGGAATCTGTGTTTCTAAATAAACTGTATTAACTCCCACCTCTTACTTAAAACAAAATTGTGTCTGTTATTATTACTATATTCAGTGGAAAGAACATTCCAGTTCACTGTGTAGAAATTCCTCCTTTGTCCATTTCAACGTTCCTCTCTCAATGAAGCAGAATTTCTGAGTACAAAGGCAATGTTCTAATTTCTCAAGCCCCATTAACTGATAACCTTCATTTTCCCAGTTCATGCTGGACAAAATGATGCTGAAGTCCTGCAATTGCCCTTACTTTTCTTACTTGTAATTGGATTTGACTTTATTGCTATTGTTTATTGTTCATTTTATTTTTGAGCCAGAAGGTCCAAAGTCAAAATACCATTCTGAGACTCCTAAATCTTAATATGAAGAAGGACTCTAAGATGATTTTGCTATCCTCCTGAGTAACAGACACCACAGAACTATGTCTACTTATTCCTTTGCTAAACCAATTATGTGAGGGACAATACATGACATACCAGAAAAGACATTTATTGATCAAACAGATAAAAATGATTAAACCTGATACCTCCTTCTGAAATACGAAAGAAGAGTGTTTCTATAGTCCTTGACTTCCTTTACATTGAGCCATGGAAGAAATACAGATAAAATCAACAGGCCATTCTCACCCAGTCAATAGATGTGATTAATCATGGTCTTATATGCCTTCTGCATCTGGCTGGGCCTTCAAAATATGAGGATACTTAATTGACTTTCCAGACCTGAGAAGTTCCATAGGTGTTACAATGTAGTGGGATCATTTCTATCCTTTTTTTTTTTTCCCCCAATTTAGAAAAGATTGAAGATTTAACTAGGGGCAAAGCCCCTTCCATAATTACTCTCCCACCTGGTCCATGGTTCCTGATGTGGTGCCACAGTGATTCTTAGAAGCAGGCAGGTCCTGATGGGTATGGAGGTGGTCTGAAGGTTGAAAGGCGGGAACAGTTGCTAGGGAACAACCCTCCCTCTATCTATGAGCTGTAGTCACCATGGGAACCAGAAGAAACATGGCAGAGATGAGCTGCATCCGTGCTAATCAAAAAACGAAACCAAAAACAAGCAAACAAAAACAGAAAAAAAAATACAAAACCAAAAACAACATAGGAAAGAGAGTAAAAGACTCATGTCTGTGTCCAAAAGTCTTCATCATATGCATAGGATTTCTTGGAGACTTTCATGAGGCAATCCTATCAACAAGACTATTTCAACAGAACTGGATCTTATCCCAAATAGTTAATGTGAGCTCACTGATCCCCATCAGAGAGGCAGGGAAAGGTGTTCCCACTTTCCACATTGGAAAAGGGAGTCTGTTGGCTGGCAAACAGCATCACATCCAGTCAGTAACAGAACCAAAGCCTGGCTCTCCTGTATTCAGCATGCAGAGCTATAACTTAGTCCCAGAGTTTTCATGTATTGCATTACACCATGGACTTGCATTCTCATAAGGCCACAAGAATTTCTGGAAGCCTCATGGGAAGAGTGCAAATCTCCCTCATGTTGCAAAGCTGCTCTTCCCATCCAGCACAAAGAAGTCAGGGGCAACAGAAAATAATTAGACACGTTTGTAAGTGCATTATTTTAGAAACAGATTTTATTTCATTGCGAGAAACTGCTAGCTGTGATAGAAAACTTCTGATCATTCTGTGAAAAATCAACAAAATACAAATCACCATGATTTTTTTTTTCTCCTTTTTCTACCTCTTCCCTTTCTTTTCTGCACCCTGGGCTACAGACAGCCTAAGGAACAACTCTCCCTCTAGCCCTTGCTGCGCTTCACCTCAGTGACCTTGTACTGAGGTGGGGCACGGTGGAACCATTCGGACCAGGAGCCATCATAAACTGCCACATCAGGCTTGCCACAGAGGTAGGCTGCCAAGGCAATGTGACATGCAGTGACACCTTTGCGGCATGTGGCAGTCAGTGGCTTTGAGAGATCCACTTTCTTCTCACGGAACATCTGCTGAATCTCCTCAATACTCTTCTCATGGCCGCTTTCTGTTAGGAATGTTGAGAAGGGCATGTTCACAGCACCAGGGATGTGACCAGATTCGAGCCCTGCAAGAGCAAACAAGAAGAAAAAATATGAACAAGGAGTCATTAATGTAGGTGATGAAGGATACCTACAAAAGAGACACTGAACAGACATCGCTGCAGATACTCCCCAAGATGCTCAGTTGTTTCAGGTGCAAAGCAGTATGCAACTAAAAAAAGAGCAAACATTATTTAACTTGGCTAAAGTTATTTAGAAAATTGTTTCCCCCTGAAAGCAATAGGAGGTAGAAATCTGAAAGCCTTGGCAGCCCTAAATATGACAAGAATCAAAGAGCCATGACAGGAAAGATCCTAGCAAAGGTATTATGCACACCTGCATAAAGAGAAACACAGCAGTATATTTCTGACCTTCCCTAAGTATGCCAGCATAATGTAGGGACACAGCATTCAGAACATGATATGTGGCTTGTATGTGAAATTTGTGAAGGTAATTCTCTGTTTACAGTTTATTCCTGTGTCACATTAAAATCATCCTTCAAAAAAATAAAGCAGCCTTTAAGTGATAGACATTACTGATAGGACAGATATACCACGGCAATAGAGCCAAAGGAGTAAGAATTTAGAGTTTCTATCACTTCTTATCTACCTCATGGATGAAATCAGTGTGAGTTCTGTTTCTCTACTGGTATAACTAACCAGTTAAGCTGAAACTTACATCTCAAGAACATGTTCTCTAGAGAGATGCAGGTACAAAAATACAACGGATGAGATTTTCATCACATCCTTAAAACTCTCACCACTTAATTGAAGTCTATTACATTCAACTCAAGTTTTTCCAAAGACTTTGAGAAGCTTTAGATCAAGCCTTGTCAAAGCAGGAAACATTAAGTATTACCTTGAATGGCTCCTTGCTAGGTTTGAATTTCTAACAAGATAGCCTTGGGAAAGTTGCAAAAATGGTAATCTTTCACTTCCCTAAGGCATTAGAGTAGCTGATCTCAGGAGATGGGAAGAGATTGAAGCAGGGAATCTTTGTTGTAGCCAAAAGATTAAAGTAACATTTGGTCAGAGACTGGTATCACCATAATGATGCTGCAGTTTCATCGCTCGTGCAAAATTATGTCATGACATGGCAGGACATCCCACAAGGAAACAGGATTATAAGGTGCTGTTAAAAAGGGGATTTTTGCTCAGCTGGGCAAAAGTAGGAGCTTATAGACAGCCAAAGCTACCTCTAGACAACAAAAGCTCTCAGTGTTCAAGATGGACCCTCTTGATTCATCCTGAGTATCGTACAAATCTGACACTGCTGCACCAACACAGATGAGTCTGTGAACCACATAACTGCAGCCTCATATCATCCTAGGGCACTGGGGAAGTATTCTAAGGTCAAGAAGTCGTGGGGGCTGAACAAGAGAGGCCAGCCCTTGCTCAAAGACGCTTGCTGGGTCACTGATTCAGTTCGTAGCTGTTCCAGGTCTAATGATCATGACTGTCCACAGTATGTATATTTGCATCCTCTTACTGGAGACCGCAGTCTTATATTCACTACCTTTAAACAACTATTTAGTTAGGAGAAGGGCAGATCATAAAAGTCTCATTTTAGAGTATTTTGGCTTTCATCTGTAGCAAGATTCAAAAGTTTGTCAGAGTCAGAAAGACCAGTGCTCAGGCTCTGCAAGTGAAAGTTGGGGAAATCTGTAGAAACAGCACTTACTCCTGTGTGTGGGCGCTCAGCTGAACAAACTAGCTGACACTGCACAATCACAGCTCCTTGAACTGCTGAAGAACTGCTCTTGAGTGGCTGAGGAAGTTTTATCAGCTCCCTCTCTTCTAGCTCCCTCCCTTGGGCATCAAACAGTACTTGTGTTATTTGCCCTCTTCTCACATTGAGATAATAATGGTCCCCTTAACCTTATGTCCAAAGTATCAGTGAGACTCAAATGGATCAAATCTGCTTTGAAGCTGATTCCAATAGCTGGAAGAAAAGATCAAACATTACATCCATGCATGCGTGGATTTTCTCTTACTTTGCAAATCAATTATGTTGTCAAATAAATTGAGCCCTTAGTTGAAGTGCAAATTTACCAAGGTATTTTATTCAATTCCGCCTTCACTTCAAATATGTTTTCTTGAAAAGTTTTTTGAAACCATTACAGTTTATTGATGTTACATTTTTAGAGCAACAGCTACGCAGGCCATTCTGTACCTCCAATCCTAAGTAAAAATACAAGCTTTGCTAGTGTTTCTCTCCTGTAAAACCATGTTCTGATGTGATTTTATTAAATGTCTCATTTCATTAAGTTGCAACATCACATGACTGATTTTTTACTTCTGTTTGGGACAGAAATTATCTGCCTCGCAGATTTGAGCACATGGATATATGGTTATATATATTTGGTTATATACTCCATTTAAAAATGATCACTTCTGCCCCACTCCCCTTCCTGTGCTACCCCGCACACTACTCTATAATAGACAATATCCTCAGAGATAAAAAATCAAAAATGACAACAGAAAACACTATATCAAAATACTATGCATGTACAAGAAAACCCAAACATCCAGAAAACCAAAGAATCCAGCAGCACAGCCTCAGTATAATTCTGAAGTGGTACACAGTCTTTCGCCCAGAACCCCTGCTAAATGCATAGCAACCTTATTTACTCCCTCTCTCCTTGTTCTCTTTTTATTCACTTTGCTCCAGCAGTTTTTGTTGTTTTAATTTCCTTTGCCAAGTCTCTCTCACTCAGCTTGGCTTCTGGCAATTCTTCCTCACACTTTGTAACCTGCAATATGTTATCTTCTTCACTGTTTAATCCCTTTTTCCACATCTGTTAGGTTCTGTGCTTAAACCTCTCTCTTTTATTGGCTATTTATCTAGCTAAGAGTACAGTTCCTTCTCTTCAGACTTTCCCTTTGTGACAAAAGCTCCAAATGGAATTTCCTCTGGGCAAAAAGATAAAAGATGTGCCTTGTCCACATTTAACTCCCTGTGCTCCCTGTGGAGCTAGCAGAGTACAAAAAGCCATTCCCTTCAAAATCCCCCTCTGTTGCCCGCTTTTTTTCTCTCTCTTCCATTCAGACTGTATGTTTTCAAATAGACCATTCTATTCTATATTCTATTAATGATTACATCTGACCTAATGTGAACTCACTGGAAGGAAAAGTTCAGTCCTGGTCTGATACATCCTTGTAGCCAGATCAATAAGTCTTTGACATTAGTCTCAAAACACTGTGCCATGTACATGGCCAGAAGAGCTGACTTGAAGAACTGGCATGATACTCACAGTGGCATCTGATGTTTGTCAGTCCAGTCAAAGGATGGACACCTTTGACTGTAAGCTTTTTTAGAATGAAACAGACTTTGGGAGTCTCACTCTCCACGTTGTGCCTCAAGTACTACTTCATGGACAAAGCAGAGTCAGTGTGCACTATGCTACAGACTCCTCTTGGAGAAGAGTGGGATATAGTAGTAACATCTCAGTCTCCCTCCCACTGCCACTGAATACTCAAGCTGAGCAAGAGCTTTGTTTGGAAGATCTGAGAGCTTGGAAAATGAGCAGAACCCAAAGAGTAGTGTATGTCCACGGGAGACAGGAACACAGGTACGTCCAGGAACACAGCACCATGTAGGGACACTTAACCACTCTGATCAGCTGTAGATGCACACCATGTACAAACACCAGAGCTTCTTTTTCATCCAAAGCAATACTTGTACTTAAAACCTATGACATCCAGCTTAAAGATACATCATTTATCTTTCTCCACCCCGGCAACTGGTGTAAACTTCTACCAGCAACTAAAAATGAAGCATGTATCATGGCTTATTTCAAACATTACAAAGACCTAAGTCCTAGCAAGGTAACGGTTATATAAGAATAAAACAGGGGCAGCTGATTCCTACCACAAGGAGCTGAAAAAATTAAACAGACAAAAGAGTCAGCTGAAATTAGCCTCTTTTGGAGATGGAGTTCATGGAACTGGAGAGATTAATGGACTTAATTAGGAAGTCAAGAGCTGAGGCAATAATTAAACTGAAATCACCTGAGAACACATTAAGTTCCTTAACCTCAAGACCATTCTTCTTTTCTAAATTGCAGGCTATGTTTCTTCTCCCTGATTGAATGACCCCTGTAATTAATCAGCATTGATTTCAAATTGCTCTTTTAGGTGTAAGCACTACCTTTTACCTACCACTGGTTGTAACACAGCTATTGGCTAGGTTGGCTCAGAAAGCTGACGAGCTCCTGCAGAATGAGCAGCTGCAGATGGAGTGCTTACCCTGCTGGATCTGCTGTGAGAAGCAGAACTGGACTACCACAAATAAACTGTTTCATGCTGACTCACTTCAAAGGAAAAATCTGTTTCCAAGATGCTGTCAGGGGCTGCAGTATTTGTCATCCGGTGACAACTCCCACTTTGGGAAAGAGAATATGAAATCCATCACCTCCATCAGCAAAGAATGCTTTATTCATGTTTTGAGGTTAAAATTATATCTTCACTTTTATAGACTGTAGTAGGCAAGGAAACAGAATGAGCAATAAGCCTAACTACCTTCTCTCTCTGCAACAGCCTCCTCTGTTACTCCTGTTAACTCTCCTACCTTCCACAGAGCCTAGCAGAGGTGAAGCATGTTTCGGGCTCACCACAGACACTTAGGCATTTAGTATCTAAAGAGGAGCTAAAAGAAAGAAGTGGTCAGACTCCTTAGCAGGGTCTCTTGCGATATGACAGAGATTTGACTGGATACAAGGAAGAAGTTTTCTACAGTAAGGGTAGTGAAGCACTGGAACAGCTTGCCCAGAGAGATGGTGGATGCACCATCCCTGGTGACATCCAAGGTCAGGCTGGAGGGGCTCTGAGCACCCTGATTGAGCTGTAGGCATCCCTGTTCATTGTAGTTGGACCAAATGGCCTTTAAGGGTCCCTTCCAACTCAAATGATTCTGATTTTATGTGTATGTAGCCATTACAGCCAAATAGTTTCAAGGTTTGGTTGTGGGAATTTATTTCAGGATGAGACCCTCTGAGCTTAGGACACAATGTCCCACTCAATGGCTGTATAGCAGCATTTACAATGAAACTCAGTCTGAAAGCCCACATGCAATGCAGAAGCACAGCACAGCCATTGGACCTTGCAAGCCTGTTACACATCCACTCCTGTGGAGCATATTATACTGTAACTCAAACTACTGCTGCTGAGTTTTTGTTTTTTAGCTCCCACTTTTAAAACCATTTTAGTGATTCTGATTTTAGGAGAAGTTATTTTGCAGTATACCAAGGTTTACGTTACACAGTACAGGTCTCCTTTAGGAACCAACTCAAATTTCATTCCAGGCACACTGCTGCACCAGCTGTCCCCACTGCACAGTATTTCTTCCACCTCTATTAGCTTGTGTGTCCAGTGATTGAGGTAACAAAATCAGTTTTAGTTCCTGTTATTTGCATCTAAAAAGAGACAGGGTGATAACACAAACACGGAGTATCCCAAGTAGTTAAGGCACCCACAAGGATCATCGAATCCAACTTTTGCCTCTATGTCTGGGATGTGTTTGGGGCTTTCCTTTCTTGTTAGATTTATGGCAGAGAGCAGAAGCACAATGATTACGACCAGAAGTTCTCTGTCTGTTGGGAATCAGAGCAATAAGGAAAACGTCTCTTGAGTTACAGCATTGCCTGAAACAAACTGGGCTTTCACTAGTGCATTCATTAATGTGAGAAGTGCCTGGATTAATACTGTTAGTCTGTGAACATCTGTTAGTACTAGATTAAGCTCTAAAGAAACTGATGGAAGCCCTCATCTCCCATTCTGCATTGTCCCACGTGCATTCCGTTTGACTATCTTCTGCAGGGTGTGGGAAGGAGGATTCTGGAGCCAACTGACTGCAGACTTCTGGGTGTTTTCCATTCCCTTTTCTGCTATTTTCTCCTGCAGCTTTACAACGAATTACAAGAAAAAGCATCCCGTGAGAGTGCTGGGATCTGAGTGCACAAACGCGGATCCCTTAAGGTAAATCCATGAGTAGGGTTGAGGCACGCCTGCTGGCTGGGAGCTGTTCCACCACCGACGCTCATCCTGCAACAACGCAGGGAGCAGTTCCCTCTACTTTACCTTGGTCCAGCTCAGTGCCCTGAAACCGGCCCGCAGGGCGGGAATCCACCACCTGGAACTTCTTGGAGCCCACATTCTCCATCATCTCCTCGAAGGTCTTTAGCAGGCTCTTATCCAGCTTGGCCTTAAAGACCGCCGGCGCGGGCTGGCTGAGCTCCGCCGTCACGGGATGGCCCTCCTTCACCCAGTTCTTGAAGCCACCGTTCAGTACGGAGACCTCGCGGTGCCCAAAGACCCGGAACATCCACCAGGCACGGGGGGCATAGAAGGTGCCCAGCTCGTCGCCGTCATACACCACCACGTGGGTGTCGTTGCCGACCCCCAGGCGCCCCACGTAGTCGGCGAAGCGGGCCTCGCTCGGCAGCATGAAATCGTACGGGGAGGACTCATCCCGGCACTCCTCGATGTCGAAGAAGGACGCGCCGGGAATGTGCCTCTCCCTGAACTCCTGCCGGGCGTTGCGCTCTTGCGGGGGATACCAGGAGGCATCCAGCACCCGCAGCCCGGCCCCGACCCTGCCGGCCCGCACGGCCTCGGACAGCCACTTGGCGCTGACCAGCGCGCGGCCCAACGCCTGCGCCGCCATCTCGGAGCACCGAGGCCGAGGACCGCAAGCGGCGGCCGCGATGGGCCGGGCCGCGGGCGGGGAGCGGCCAATCAGCACGCGCGGGCGGGGCGGGGCCCATCCCTCCGCGCACACACGCGCAAAATGGCGGCGCGGGGGCGGGCGGCACCGCCCCGCTGGGAGGGTCCCGGCTCCCGCCCCCCGAAGCGGTATAGGCCACGGCTGTCGGGGAGCTGCTCGGCAGAGGCCCGGCGCAGAGGTACAGGGCCTTGTGCGTTCGCCCTCTGTGCGCGGGGCGCTCGGGGAGGTTGGCAGCAGGGCAAGAGGTGCTGCGGGCTGAGCCTCCCTCGGCACAGGGCCCAGCTCCTCAGGGTCCTGGGGCTGCCTTGCTCCCTTGGTGCTGCTATCAGTGCTGGCTGTGAAGGGCCCTGGGCATAGCTACCCTGCTTGGTGCAAGGCTTGGGTTGAGCTTTTTGAGACTCTTTATCCCCAGGGCTGGAGCATTGTGCCAGGAGAGGTTCGGGTTGGATATTAAGAAAGATTTCTTCTCTGAAAGAGCGGTGCTGCAGTGGCACAGGCTGCCCAGGGAGGTGGTGCAGTCACCTTGGAAGTGTTCCAGAACCGTGTGGATGTGGCACTGAGGACATGGTCAGTGGGAATGGTGGGGATGGGCTGACGGTTGGACTGGGTGATCTTAGAGGTCTTTTCCAGCCTTAATGATTCTTTGATTGCAAATTTATCGCTATAGGCTTAGCTGGTATCTCAGTGCATACACAGGGCTTTGGTACCTAAATATGTCTTTTTGCGAGGCTGGCCTCTAACTTGTAGCTTTCTTGTTTCTGCAGGCAGGTGTCTCAGGTAGTCTCAGCCAGGATTTGGGAGCGATGTCGCAACAACTCCTGTACCGCGCTCTGGTCTCTGCAAAATGGCTTTCAGAAGCCATCAAGTCCAAGCAAACTGGACAGGCTTTGAAGGTTGTGGATGCATCCTGGTATTTGCCAAAGATGAAACGTGACCCGAAACAGGAGTTTGAGGAGCGCCATATCCCCGGTGCAGTTTTCTTTGACATTGACCAGTGCAGTGATCGTACTTCACCTTACGATCACATGATGCCCAAGGCTGATGAGTTTGCTGAGTATGTGGGGAAGCTGGGTGTGGGGAATGATTCCCATGTTGTGGTGTATGATGGCAGCGACCAAGGACTCTTCTCAGCACCACGGGTGTGGTGGATGTTCCGCGTCTTTGGACATGAAGCAGTTTCCCTTCTAGATGGTGGCCTGAAGAACTGGCTGCGAGAGGGATTTCCACTGAGCTCTGGGAAAACCCAGGTAGCTCCAGCTGATTTCCATGCCACTTTAGACAAGTGCATGGTGAAAACTTATGAGGACATCTTAGATAACTTGGATTCCCATCGTTTCCAAGTCGTGGATGCGCGTGTTGAAGGACGGTTCCGGGGAATAGAGCCAGAACCCCGAGATGGTAATGTGCCTGCACAGATACTGGCATAGTAAGCCAGGGTAGTAGGGGGACTTACTGTGTTCTAAGTTTGACTCTTGTAGAGGTAGGGATGGGAAATACTGTTTTTCTTTATGGGTAGTACTTGAAACAATGTATTTACTTTTTCTCTTTGCCCTTTGGCTGCTGTTTGGAAACTCTGGAGTGGAGAAGCTATGGGTTTTGTTGGTTGGTTGGTTTTGGCTTTGTTTTTCTTGAAGGGCTGGGGTGAGGTAAGCAGTTCTCATAGACCTCAAAGATGTGTATTGATCTCTCCATGTACTGGTGCTCCTCTTCCATCAGAAGAGCCTGTGGAAGTGCTACTACAGTCTGCAGTATGGGTTGCTCTGATGGAGAGAAGATGTGGAGGGAGTTGAGAGGAAGAACAGAACTTCAACAAAAATTAATGTTATATTTTTTGTTTAAACAAAGTAAATTAAACAGTAGATACCCCTTGTGAAATACAGAAATACAGAATTCTTGCAGTAGAATCCTCCCAAACAGTAGAAGTTAATTCCTATGTGTACTGTTTTTCTTTCAGGAATTGAGCCTGGTCATATCCCTGGCTCCCTGAACATTCCCTTCACAAGTTTCCTCACGGAGTCTGGATTAGAGAAGACCCCAGAGCAGATCAGAAGTCTGTTCCAAGAGAAGAAAGTGGACCTCTCGAAGCCTCTGGTGGCTACATGTGGCTCTGGAGTCACTGCCTGCCATGTGGCTCTGGGGGCATACCTCTGTGGCAAGCCAGATGTTGCTGTGTACGATGGGGCCTGGGTGGAATGGTACATGAGGGCACAGCCTGAAAATATTATTTCTGAGGGAAAGGGGAAGACTGTGTAATGAGCCACACTGTCTTTTAGTCATACAGATACTCTGCCTTGAAACTGGATTTGGGAAAAGATGAGTTTGTATGTTCCTGGTTAAGTGTCATAAGGTGAAGGTGTTGGGGAACACGTATTGGCACATGGTGCTTCGCACTTTTGCCTTCTCTGACCCTTTAGGAGCATAAAGATGACCTGACCAGCCTGCTCTGGGTGACCATGCATGAGCAGGTGGGTTGTCCAAGATGATCTCCAGAGCTCTCTTCCAACCTCAACCATTCTGTGAATCTGTGGCTTCTTTGCAGTTTCACATGGAGAGAGCACTGATGGCAGTGTGGGAATGCTACTGTGTCAAGCCAAGCTTATGACTCAAGACATTCACCATGTTTAGTCACAGGATGGTCATATTTGTATAGCTGTGCCTCATGGTCTTACTCTCTGCCTCTGTCCTAGAAGCCAGCCAGAACTGTTTTGAGAGCCCAGGGGAAAAAAAAGAAAAAGGTTTTAAAGGAGAAAGTATGGCTTCCAAGTTGGCACTCAACGAGGTTAGAGATTTAGTTTGCATTTCTTCTTGTATTTGAAGTCTTAAATGCAATGTGTATATTTAGCCAACTTTGTACTCCCATTGCTCAAAATTCCCCCCTTAAAAAAAAAAAAAAAAGATTCTGGAATTTTAAAAAGAGTAAATAAACATTTGTTTCAAGGTCTTTCTGCTGAATGACACTTATCTTTGTGTTGCTTGGATGAAGTCTTTCCAGGAAATTGTATAGATTATTCACATGGGGTGTTTTCTTCTTTACTTTCCTTAGCCTCAAGGAGCTCTTTGGACCTGGAAGGATAATGGTGTGCTTCTCTCTTGGGTCTTTTTGCCATCTCCCTCCCTACAGTCCTTGCTTGTTTGTTTTTTGTTTTTAAACTCCATGTTAGTCAGTCCCAGTTCTGTTCCTCAAAGACTGAATGTCAGTTCTTATCATGAAAAATGGACTGTATACCTGTCACATCCTGTCAGTGGAACATGAAGGGGAGGGAAAGAGTGGCCAGATTTATTCTTTTCAATACGTGTTCCATTGTTTCCACGAGACTTACCATGTAACCTTATAAAACAGTGCAACTCTAACCTTCAGCAGAGTAGCACAAAATGGCAAGATTCTTTTTTTCCAGATGACCATTTTCTTATACTTGAAAGCTGAAATCCCCCTAGGTATCTCTGCCCATGTTCAACAGTTTGTTTACAGACAGTTTAGGATTTTCTCCCATCTTTAAAAAAAGAAAGCCCCTTTTGTGGCTCACTGGTAAGTTGGTTAATGAGGTTCTGTTCTGGGGCATGCAGCAGCTTGCTCCTTAGGGTCTTGGGGCTGACACTGCAGCAAGCATTGAGTATACAGAGTGCATGGGAGACTGAAACAAGTGACCTTTAAGAAGGCAGAGCAAGACACAGATTAGAATAAAATAATAAAGCTTTATCTTTGTCAGCTTCTATTTAGCTCGTTGGGTTTAAACTTCCTGAAAGAGCTTTTTGCAAGTTGCATCACATCTTTAAAATTGTGAAGGCTTACCATTCTGGATCAGCTCCTGATCTAATTGGCTGTTTAATTTTATTCTTCCTGCTAGGGAAAGATTTTCTACTCCCATGCTTTATGGATTTCCCCACCCATCTAATTGCTGCGTTTGCAAAGGCTGGTAGCAACACTTTGCTTTAATCCAAGTGGGGTAATTTTCTAGCAACTGTTTCCTGCAGTAGAAAGGGAGGAACTGGTCCACGTGTCATGTAGGACATCTGATGCTTTTTCTAACTGATGGCACTTGTAAAAGGCTTCTTAAGCTGAAGTATGGTATTGGGATAAAAATGGAAGGATAAGCACTGGTGTGAATCAGCTGGTAGGTTCTAAATTCTCTGTGGATGGGCCTCCTGATGTGAACAAGAACCCTGCTTTTTAAGACACCTTAAATATATTTGTACAGACAGCACTGTCTAATACGTGATCCTGTAAGAGGATATGGCCTCTGACATCTTTTCAGGATTTTTAACTTTTCACTCCACCAGTCAAATTTACTTGTGGTAAGTCATTAAGGTTTAACTTTCTGGGTGTGGTGGGGAGGTGTGGCAGATTTTGTCAATATGTACAAGTGTGCAATCAGGAGTACTGTGCCTGCCCTGTTTCTCCATGAAAATTAATTTGTTAGTGAAAATGAATGCATTCTTTCAGTGTTCATCGTTTACAGTAGATGCAGGGGGCTAGTTTTGTCTTTTATCTTTCAGAGTATCCAGCACACTGCTGTACTGCCCTTGTTTCTTTTTGGGACAAAGCAGTCCTTTGTGTTAGTGGGAATCTCTCTGCTCTGCTTCCTCTTGATCCTGAGTTTCTTTCCTTTACCATGCGTGTCAGGCAAAGGTGTCTGGTGCAGCCCAGCAAGTCACCTGGAGATGACAAAATGAAAGATTTCCTCCTCCCCATGCTCTGTGTTTTGACAGTGTGACTCTGTGGCATCCAGCAGGGTCCTTTCCCTCTCTGGTAAGTGTGTCAGGACTTGTAGAACTCAACTGCTCTTTTCCCTGCTGCCCTTAGAATTACAAAATCTTCTCAGCAGTTTTTCCACTTCCCAGCTTTCAGCAAATCTTTTACCAAGCACTTAGCTTTGCTTTGATTTCCCCTCTCAGGAGAAATGGAGAACTTCCTCCCCACACCAAGATATTTTGTGTTTTTGGTGTATGCCCTGTTACATCATATAGCAAAAATCTGTCCCAGACAGTTTTCTGATGTTTTCCCTCCCTATAGCTGAGATCTGTTCTCACACTGTGAAGAACTAGGAACACTGTGGGATCTGAGACAAAGTTTTCAAAGCCTGGAAACTGCAAAAGCCTATTTTGAGCCATAACAGATGCTGCTGGACATATGGAACAGCTGAGGGGACTTGCACCAAGACTAAAAATGTTCTGCAGATTGTTATGTCTCTGTCTCAGTGGATGGGTTCCCTATGGAACTGGAAACAGAGAAGGGGAGAAGGGGATGAGTGCAAATCACTAATGTTTATAACCCTGCTCTGGAAAATTTGCTATTGGGAAAGAGGAATAGTGTTCCTGGTGGAAGAGAAGTAGCCTGAAAATCAACTCTGATGTGGAAATAGGGTCATATTGACTTGTGGCTAACTTCAGGCTTAAGCTTTTCCAGCTCTGTATAAATTTGAGAATTTGAGGTCAATATGTAAACTTTTAATTGGTGTATTTTATTATCTGTAATGCTTTTACAGACAGTAAAAGCAGTCTGGGACTTGTGAACAAACAGTCTGGTCAATGAATAACCTCGTGCCTCTTTCAGGGCACAGCTCAGCTTTGAGCCCTATAGGGATGACCATGGTGGCAATGGCTTGGATCTGCTCTGCACCTAGCAATATAGCAGTGTGTGCATTATGTGAATAGCAATGGAGAGGGAGAGGAAGCACTACAGCTGCCTCATAGGTCCACACATGGATCTGAATTCAGTGGGAAAGGAAAATCATAGAACCACAGAATCATTAAGTTTGGAAAAGACCACTAACATTATCTAGTCCAACTGCCAGCCCTTCCCCACCATGCCCACTAGTCATGTCCCTCAGTGCCACATCCACAAGTTTTGGAAGACCTCCAGGGACAGTGACTCTAGTACCTCCCTGGGCAGCCTGTGCCAGTACAGCACCACTTTTTCAGAGAAGAAATTTTTCTTAATATCCAACCTTAACCTCTCCTGTCACAGCTTAAGACCATTCCCTCTCATCCTATTACTCTTACCTTGGAGAAGAGGCCAACCTCCACCTTGCTATAACTTCCTTTCAGATTATGAGAGTGATAAGCTGATTCTTCTCTTTTCCAGACTGAATAATGCCAGCTCCCTCAGCTACTCTCCATCAGACTTGTGCTCCAGTCCTCTCACAGCTCCATTGCCCTTCTCTGGACACGCTCCAGGGCCTCAATGTGTTTCTTGTATGGAACGGCTCTAAACTGAACACAGTACTTGAGGTACAGTTTCACCAGTGCCAAATACAGAGGGACAGTCACCTCCCTGCTTCTGCTGACTGCACTATTTCTGATACAAGCTGCGATGCCATTGGTCTTCTATGCCATCTGGGCACACTGCTAGCTCACATTCAGATGGCTGTTGACTAGTAACCTCAGATCCTTTATCTCCAATCAGCTTTGTACTCACTCTGCTCCAGTCCTGTAATGTTGCATGATGTTGTTGTGATCAAAGTGCAGGACCTGGCACTTAGTCTTGCTGAATTTCATACAATTGGCCTCTGTCCATTGATCCAGCCTATCCAGTTCTCTGTAGGGCCATCTGCAAACTCACTGAGGGTGCACTCAGTTGCCTTGCCCAGATAGACAATAAAGCTCTTAAACAGGGCCAGCCCCAATACTTACCACAGGGCAATACCACTCATGGCTGGTTATCATCTGCATTTAACTTCAAAATGCCAAAGAATGGATATTGCTCTCCTCCTACAATTCCACATCATTGTGTTTAGCTCATGTTTTGACCACAGGTGTGGCCATATGATATACCCTGCTGTCCCTGCAGTTCCCTCTCAATCCCTTTTCCCCAGTTCTAGTGCCAGTCATTCTGTCACATATAGAGTTTCTTCTCACCTTCCAGGAACATGACTGTGTCCCTCACATGTGCCTCCTGCTCATTTCATCACACATTTGCAACACAGCTCCACCTTTTATAGGGATTAAGCACGAACAGTTCTCTAACAACAATCCTACATTCTCACGTTCCTCACCTATCTTCTTTCTCCCCTGCCACCTTCTTCCTTCGCTGCTTCTGTGAAATCCTGCTGTATTATTTCACACTTAACTTCCCTGTGGGCCATTTGTTCCCCCACAAACTTTCCCAAATCTCAAAGCAGCACCACTGTCTCTTCCCACATCACTGTTTCTTCCCACTAACGACCACTGCATGAGCAATAGTAATCACTGTTACCTGTAGAGGTTTGTCTTGGCCTTCCCATCTCTTCTGGTCCTAGCACGCAACTAGGTGTTATTTACTCACTATTCTGTACACAGGTACATTGCTCACAGGAACTGGAAAAAGATCAGCTCACCTGCATGCTATGGAATCTTTCTCTTCCTGGTCCAACATGCCTGGCTCAGCTGGCAGTCAAACTGATCTCTGCTGGTTACAAGTGAACTGTCTTCCTCTCATCAGCATGTCCCATGTAGGGATTTTCCTTTGCCCAATTTGCTGTGGGCTTAATGGCAAATATCAGTGTTACTTGCCCTCTACCACAGAGAAAAGATGGTTTCTTCACCAGTGCCTCATGCCACAGTGTGTTCATTAACTAAATGATCGTGCAGGTTGAAACCCAGATGTATTTGCAGTCTGCCTGAGTGGTGACACTGCCTATGCTGACACACAGTGATTCCTTCTCCCACCGATGCTCCAAAACTCAACAGCTCCTAAGAGCAACTCCACAGATTCAGTGATGCATCGCATGCAATGTACCCAGCTGGACTCTTCAGGCTGTGATGTATGTGTACTGAATGCTGCAGTGTCGGCAGCTTTCTGCAGCTTTTAACAGCAGGCATGCTGGCTGCTGAGCAAAGAATCTCTCAGTTTACCCTTTCCCCTTTTTACCTTTGTGCTTGTTCAGGTCCACTACCTATCTATGCAGTTGCTGCCCAGCTTTCCCTGCTCCTGGTCTGTCTGGGCAATTGGACCTGTCCCTGTGATCAGCTTTGTGTTCAGTGGGGCTGTATGGCATTGCATACTCATGTTGCTCTCTATAAGCTCTTGCTTGCTGTTGTCTCTGACTCTGTGCAAATGTCTTGTATGTAGTTAACATCAAAACAGGAAGAACAGGCATTTATTATTTGAATTTATTTCTCCTCTGTTCTATTGCTTAATTTTAATGGACCTTAAGAAGGGCAGCTCGGAACTATACCCAGCGATGATGTGCAAATCAGGCTCTTATGTAGCCCACCCCAACTACTCATTATAGCATTTCAGCTGGTAACTCACCCTGGACTGTCTTCTTCCTAAAAGAGATTTTCACTTACAACAAGAAACTCCCTGGCCTGAGGGAGTTACAGTAAAGCTCATACTGTGTATGGAAGAAAACAAGGGATGGGGTTGTTGTACCTTGACCTCTTTTCGTACTTACATGTTACTACTTCAGATTGAGCTACTTGCCTTTCACCCCATTGCCCTGGGGTGAGCAAGTGTTGGCTACAAATGGCAACTAGCATTGGTGGAAGAAGGTGTGCTCTGAATACAGGCCATCCCTGACCCATGAGCAGCATTGGCATGGGAGAGGTTGGAGAGGAAGGCAGCAAAAACAAGGGATTGGATCTAAAATTGAGAAAGAGAGACTGAGGGACTGTGAAACAGGCTTGGAGGAAAGGGAGGCAAGCTGAACCCTTAATAGAAAAAGGAACAAAATAAAGGCAGGGCAGATTTCTGGGAGGGGAAGATAAGAGGCAGTAGGCTGCCACCTTCTACTGCTGCATTCATATCAGGGAGCCACGGTCCTCCTTCTCTGTCTCTGTTGCAGCTGTGGCCAGAGCTGACAGGATCTCATGTTCCTAACACACCAGAATATAATGCAGAGCTCTTAGATATGCCATGGCTCGACTCAGAGCCAGAGGTAGGAAGGAAACAGTCTCACAGCCCAGGGTTGTGTTGTACTGTCTGTACTTGTGTTGTACTGGTGCTTCAGCTCAGGTTGGTGACAGTCTGAGCATCCTTGATATCTTCTGCTGCTCAGTGGAGAGTGGCCCAGGGGCTGGGGACTAATTTATTAATGGACCTGCTCAATGCAAAAAGAAAAAAAAATAAAATTAACCTCTCTCTATTAATGGTCACTACAGAGCTGACAAGATCTTGATATAAATTAAAGGAGATCCAAAGTTATTTGATTTTACACCCTGCAGCAGCTGATTTGTTCCTGTGCTTAGATTAGTTGGAGGTCAGCAATTTCAAAACCTTTTCCTTGTTACCCTCTCTTTCCCCCCTCCCCTTTGCATTCCTCCACAGAAGGAGCAAAGTACAGTTATACCATCTTTGTCAAGAGAATTCTGGGTAATTTGGGGAAGGGTGACACTACACTCATGTTCTGTGATGATAAAAGGGAGTGATTTTTAAGCAAAAGAAAAGAGAGAATGAAGAAAAGACAAGAAATGTGTATAATGAGTAAAACATGATCTTTTTATTTTTCCACTCTTTCCCCCCCCCAGTAACCCCCACCTCAGAAGACCCAAGATGTAGGTGAAAGAAGAAAGTGTCTGCAGGGCACAGTGGTGTTCCTGCAGTGCTGCATTGCCCTGGCAAGAAGGAGCCACAGAGTTGCTTCAGGTGAAGGAAAACTTTGGGCCACATTCAGGTGAAACATCAGCCTTTTCTTTCCATCCCCAGTGTGCCTGAGCTGCTGGCAAGCACTATTGTGTTTAAGAGGGAGAGGGAAAAGCGGAGCTGCTGAAGAAAGAACTCATTCAGGTCATGTCCATGCCATGGAGTGCATTTTAACAGTCCCGTGGGTATGAACTGCCAAGCTGCATGCTTGACTTGGCAAGAGGAGTGGCAGAGGCAGGGCTGTGCTCAGCAAGGAGCAATTGGCACATCGGTATCTGCATGTGGTATGCCTGGGGCAGAGGTAAAGATCCATGCAGAGCAGGGTTAAAATCTGAACTCTCTGCAGCCAAGACAGCATCAGAGCTGGGAAATAGTCAGTGGTCTGTGGAATGGTTTGTGACAGTAGGACCATATCAAGGGGGAGGAGGAAGGGGAGCATTAGCTGAATCAGCGACTCTTCTAAGTCAGAAGAAAAATTATTCCTGCCCTCCTGCCAGCACTTCATGCAGATCCAAGATACTGTTCCCAGAAGAGTCCCTACATATGTTAGCAGGAAGACAACTGTCTGCACACTTTGCAGCAAGAACAGCGTGGCAACTGATGCAGCACAGTGCTGTGAGCCTGGGGTAATGTATTTCCTGAAGGGAAAGCTGTGGAGGGCAGTGCTGATGGGCTTAATCTGCTGACTGCCAGAAATCAGAGATCTTCTTTCTGACTCCAGGGATGCCTGCCTGCAAGATCCATGACTCAAAGCAAGCAAATGACTAGCTGTAGTGTTACGTATTACAGCATCCCCTTTTGTGGAGACGGCAGGCTGGAAAAACTACAGTTCCCAGCACCCTTTTATGCATGTCTCTGAAACTACAGTTCCCAGAACCTTTTCATGAGCCGGGGAGGGTGTACATGGAAGTAATTGCTGAGGAATTTTTGCATCACACCCCATACTTTCAGTGCTGGCCAGCTCTTGGTTAGTGAAAACTGAAACGGAGGAAAAGCCAGGGAGCATTGAGACTGTGGTTTTCCCACCCCTAATAACTGCAGCACAGGGCATCTTTCTCCCCCTGGGGTCTCCCTGGGCAGACGCAGGGAGGATCCTTGCCCTTAAGGGAAACACGGCTGCTGCGGAAGGAGAGCAGACAAACTACAGATCCCAGCATTCCCTAGCAGGCAGCACCTGCGGCAGTCCCTGCATGCCAGGGGGGATGAGGATGTGGATGGAGGGCGGGGAAGAGATGAAGGGTGCTGTGGGGCTGCGCTGCAGCTGGGACCCACCCCCCATTGATGCCCAGGCCAAGTGGGTGAGGCTCAATGTGGGGGGTACCGTCTTCCTTACCACCAGGCAGACCCTGTGCCGGGAGCAGAAATCTTTCCTGTGTCGCTTGTGCCAGGGCGAGGAGCTGCAGTCGGACCGGGTAAGGCAGCTGCATTGCCTCCTGCACCATGCCCCTCTGAGCACGGGGAGGGCTGCAGGGCTATAAGGGCTGGAGCCAGACCCCAACAGCTGTAGGAGTAACCCAGAGAATAATACCTTCACCTTCTCCGCTATCCCAGAAAGAATTTTATCTTCCCTGTTACTGCCTGGCTGTGTTGTAGCCCAGCATCTAATTTCCCCACATGGGGAAAAGCAAGGCCATGTCCCCTCCACCCCTGCTGCTCCATCACCCCAGATGCCCTGGGGGTACCTCCCAGATGTAGCTGCCTGCCTCAACCTTTTTCCCTGTGAGGGGTCTCTGCTCCCTCACACTGGGCCTGTACACATAGTTGCAGGAGCCTCAGGTCAGGTTTTTTTTGGCTTTCTTAGCTGGATTGGTCCATGCTGAGATGGACATTCTGAGCATAATAATGCAGGAGTTAAAATCTGAGTGAAGTTATCTTATAGAGATATAGCATATCTCAGGAGTGTGAATTGCAGATGGGTGCAGGCCAAGATGCCCCACATTTTTTCACCTCATGGTCTACCTCTTGTTGCTAGGATGAGACTGGTGCATACCTTATAGACCGGGACCCTACTTACTTTGGACCCATCCTGAATTTCCTCCGTCATGGGAAGCTGGTCCTGGATAAAGATATGGCTGAAGAGGGTGAGTCTTGGAGCTCAGAAGCTTCCCATTTAACCACTGCTGAAGCAGAACAGTAGGATTTGTAGTTGACTTCCTTGTCATGAAGATTGGTGTGGGAGATTTGAGAAGGTCATCCTTGCAGCTCTTGGAAAGCATGTTTCCTTCACTAAGTGGGAATGGAGCAGGTGGAGAAGGCATCCTGCATGTATTGAGTTCTTATGGCTGTTAGTTGAGCAGAAGTGTCACTGGGATGGAAGCAGACTAGGTCTCCCATCCTCGATAAACTGTTTTATTACCTATTCCTGATACACTTTTAACCAGGCTTTGTGACTGAGGTTTGTGTTAATGACAGTGTTTCTAATTAGGAGTGAAAACCCAGAAGACCAAACAGACCAACTGACTATAATAAACCCCATAATTAATCAGTGACATGTAATGTATGCTAATAGCGCTCTGATGGGCTGTGGACTGCAGCAATTCCAGTGGAACAAGCCAAACAAACCAATTCCTCATTTGATGTTGACAGAGTCCAATAGGATAACTCAGTAACATCATCATGGTGTTACAAGCCAGCAATCCCCAATGCCTCATTATTTTTTGGATGTTAGAGACTAACAAGCAGCCAATTTCAAAGACAGGCTGTGCTGTCCAGCCCTTGCCAAGCACAGTTGCTGCAGGTTCATTAGCCTTCTTGCCTCTCTTACATATTTTTACCAAGGAGTGTTTTATTCAGAATCATTTTATGAGTTACAATGCAAAAAAAAATATCTAAGAAATAGTAGAGTTGTAATAAACATGATTCAGAGATGTTCCTTACTTATCACTGATTGTTACCCTCCGGTCAGACAGAGTTCAGCCAAGGCTTTTAACACGAGATCTGAAACATAAACAGGAGTCTTGTTCTGTTCACAGCTGATCTGTTGCCTTTTGCTCCTGACACAGACAGGCTAGCATGAAACCAACCCGTTAGAAGGTTCGTGGCTGAATGGGGGACTCTGAGTGGATCTGAGTTCTCAGGTAGAGAAGGATCAAAACCCCACCAGCATTGTCTGTACGCTGATCTGGGTACACATGAATGTTGGTTCCTGGCCTCCTTCCCCTCAATGACACACTGAGAACCCACCTCCCTTTCCCTGATGGCTTGTTAGCAAGCAGGAGGATCTCAGGAGAGGTGAAGGATGCAGACACAATGCAGAAAAATCAAAACAGTTCTCTATCTGCTCTGTGATGAACAAAATATTGAAGTCATATGGAGATGCAACTCTAACAGGTCCAGGGGGAAGGATGGAATTTTTTTTCTCTGGACAAACCAGAACAAATTGTGGTTCTCTACCTTCCAAAGAGGGCTTGAACAAAGTGATAACTAGCGGTCACTGAGAGCATGGATCTCCTTGGCCTGTAATCTAAAAGTCGGTTTTGGACTCTCAGGGAAATCCTCCACTTCCTTGAGAATATATTAGCAGACTTTGGCACCAGCCTTCACTGTTTCTGTAATGGTAGATAGCATAAAGAAATTGGGATGAGCAGTAGAACACAACACAAGAGGGCCAGTGTTCAATTCTCTGCAGTAAAGGTTTCAAGCAACAGGAACTTGTTAAAATTCTGCATAAAGCTTAGGTATCATTTCATCCAAGGGACATAACCTTGGGAAATGTACATAGAATTGGTTCTTTTTGGCTTGCAAAACAATATGGCTGTTAACTTCGTGGTTTCTGTGTCATTCTTTCTTAGGGGTCCTGGAAGAAGCAGAGTTCTATAACATTGGCCCTTTAATCCGGATAATTAAGGATCGACTGGAGGAGAAGGACTACACAGTGACGCAGGTATGGTGGGAAATGGCAAACAAAGATAGTGAGGAAGGAGGAAATGCTAAAAGGGAGAATGAAATCTAAAGGGAGAGCAGATGTGGGAGAGGCAGCAGGGAGTGGAAAGAAGCAACTAATTAGAGTTTATGTGCTAATCTGTGTTTAGCAAAATCTTGCTTGGGGACAGGCTAACACCAATTTAGTCACAATAAACAAGTTCCACATTTGTTTTGCAGCTCCAGAAGTAGTGCTGGATGTAGCCTCTGAAACAAAATTGGCTTCTAGAAGAAGCCTGCTAGTTGCTGTGGTTGGCAACCCTGCACACAGCAGGGGGGTTGAAACTAGATGTTCAGTATGGTCCCTTTCAACCCAGGCCATTCTATGATTCAGTGATTCTATGATTCTGTGTTTGTGGTGATGTGGGAAGAAGTACTCTGGTATGGAGAGTCCTGAGAGTGTAGTCACAGTGAAGAATGTAGGGATACTTCTAGAGAAACCTGAAGGGAACAAGTGAAGAAATGTCTGTAGAAGAGAAATGCAGAAAATGAAGCACAAGAAATCAATCTCATGGCACAATCACACCTTGTCTTGGCTAATAACCTTTTCAAAACTGTCTTCTGGGAATCTTGACTGATATCTCACTTTTCATCATGTCTGCCTTAGGACGTAAGCCTCCAGCAATGCAATCACTTTGTGCTTGCAAAACCCCATCAATATTTGTGGCATTTGCATAAATGACTTTGTAATGACAAATGCAAACTCCCTGTAGGAAAGAGTCCACTGTCTTCTGAGGACATTGCATAAAGCCCTCAGCTCAGTTCCTTTTCTTCCAAAGTGATAGCACCATTTTTGCTCCCCACCCCATCTTGAATCTTGGATATGGTGAGGATAGTTCTGTAAAGAAGGGGTGCTACCTCTTCCTTCTGCAGATGGGCAGTGGTCTTTAGTATTTGATCTCTGTCAACATCCTTGTCTGCAATTTTTTTTCTGTCAGGTGCCTCCTAAACATGTCTACCGTGTGCTACAGTGCCAGGAAGAGGAGCTCACTCAAATGGTTTCCACTATGTCTGATGGATGGCGCTTTGAGCAGGTATGGGGAAGATAGAGGAGGAGGGTGAGGAGTTGTCTTTTGGAACACAGATGGATGGCTGTATGGAATACCACACAGCCCCCAGGCAAGGTATCTTCCCTATCTGAGAAGATTGGGTCAGTTGTTGATGGTGCTGTCACACCTACCGTCTCTCACCTCTTCTCTTGAAGCTTAGAGGACATTCCCTGTTTTCTGCACTTGCTCGGCTTAGTTATAAGGCCTGGGGGCAGGGGCTGGAGTCCTGCTGTGTGGCAGGATCCTTTACTCCCTAGGTGAAGTGGAAGTTTGCAGTAACATGTTTGTTATCATTGTTTTTGTCTTCTCCAGCTTGTGAACATTGGCTCATGTTACAACTACGGGAATGAGGATCAGACAGAGTTCCTGTGTGTGGTCTCCAAGGAACTGTGCAACTCTCCCAGTGGTCTGAGCTCTGAGTCCAGCCACAAAGCCAAGGTGAGACCAACTTCACTATGGCCTTTCTCTTATTGCTTATGAAACAGTTTGCTCTAGTTCACCCCCTCTTCCTTTCTTCTCTCCACTGTGACCGTGGAGAACTCAGCAGTGAAATAGGTGGTGATATACAGGGGCTTTATGACATCACACCACGACATTATACCAATGGCCCAAAACAAGGAATGTGTGTGTTCAAGTGGTGATGCCTGGCTGTGTGTGCCAAATAGCTTTATCAAGTGATCCTGGCACTTCTCATGCTTCTCTAAAATCCTCCTCATACCTCCTCATGACCATGCTGTGTGATTTTGCCAAGGTTTCTGCAGCATTCTCATTCTTTGTTGAGTCACATCTACGTGATAGGAGGTCACTTTCTCCCCTTTGAAGGGAAGGACAGGAAAATGTGGTGTTGCATGACATCATGTAGACACCTAGATACAAGAAGGAGCACTAGAAACTGATGGAAGCTGTTGGGCAGAGGGATCACAACACTTGTAAGAACAACCCTTATATGTTGCTGTATAAGAAAAGTCTCTTTGCCTCCTGACCCAGAACTGTCTTGGCTGTGGGGAAAGGTCCCTTTCTATTTCAGCATCATGACCATTGCTTTATGCACTTGTGTATCAGCAAGAACTTCCATGGCTCATCTGGCAAGTGTCTCCACTCTTTCTTCCCTTTGTCCTGCATGCTGGCCTGCAGAGCGCAGAGGAGAACGTGGAGGAAGAAGAGCAGGAGATGGAGGAGGAGGCAGAGGCAGAAGCAGAAGAGAAAGGTGCAGCAAATCCTTGAGGAAAAAAATAGACTAACCCCCAGGCATAGATTCATCCACCTTTCTGGTGAGAACTCACAGCTAGCAGCAGGAAAGAACTAGGTGTGGGGTGGAGGGGACGTCCTCCCAGGGAGCAGGAGTCTATCTGGAGATAAAGCTCATAGGGAGGTGTTGTTACCTTGGCTGCTGCTTTGTGTTTTTAACTGTTTGGTTTATTTATATTTTTATTTGCAGACTGTCCACGTACTGGACACTCCTTCCTCCTCCCCTCCATCTCCATCTCTGCACTGTCACCTGCCTGGGACACCCTACCCCATTCCCCAGCCTCCAGCATTCTCCCCTCTGCTCTCTTTGCCCCTCGCAGCCTTCTTCCAGCAGACCTGGTTCCCGTCTCCCCTTCCAAACCCAAGATTCTGTTTGTTCCCTCCTCAGGGCCCCATCTCTCTCTGCTCCTCACTTTTCCTACTCTGCAGGTATGTTACCTATATGCACTCTCAGATCCTGCCAGTTTGAGCTCTGCATGAGTGACTCACATCCTTCCCTCTTGTGGATAAAGTCCTGGTTTGTAGAACTTGGGGACGGGGAAAAGCAGGGGGAGGTTGAGTCATTTCTAAGGTGGCTTTTCTGATTCTCATCATACATGTGCCTTCACAAAGCCAAGCTGTTTTTACAGCTCTGGACTGGAGGCTCTGGAAGCAGCAGGGAAAGTGCAATCAGGAGTAAGGAGGAGGGCAGGGAAGAATGGGGAAGAATGCAAAGCAGGCAAGGATGGCACAGGGGAATGCCTGCCGGGTGGCTGCCTGCCATGCATGCCACATCACTTCTGATTGCCATCCATTCTTGCAGCTCCTTTGCCCTGCCCTGCTCATGCTTCCCTTGACATTCCAGTGCCAGAGGGTGGTGAAGGTGTAGTGGAAGCTGTCGGTCCCTGCTCCAGATGTTCCTACAGCTGTGCTTGAAAGGGGCCTCTGCTCTGCCTCCTACTGAGACAGGCTGCCCATCTGCAGCTGAACAAAGAAAGCTTTCACAGGAGGACCCCTCTCTCTAGCTGGAAAACAGATTTCTTGTTGAACTGGTGGTGCTCAGTGCCACTTTCCATCCTAATGGGGGGCACTTGTTAGCTGGATGGCATTTCTCACTTCCCGTGTTCAAGAGCCTCCTTGTTCGTGGCTATGGGACCTGAGTGTTATTCTCTCAAAAGGCAGTGTGTGTTAATCACAGACTTTTCTCTTTTCACCCCACCCTCAATCCTCTTCCCTTCCTTTCCCCTTTTCCCCTTTTCCCCTTTCCCCTTTTCCCCTTTTCCCCTTTTCCCCTTTTCCCCTTTTCCCCTTTTCCCCTTTTCCCCTTTTCCCCTTTTTCCCTTCCCTTCCCTTTCCATCTTGTTTCCTCTGTCATGTGCTCTTTCCCTTTTTCTGTTTCTTGCCCTCTTTGATTTGGTTTCTCTCTCTCTCTCTCTCCTTCTCTAGCAGTTACAAGCCAGAGGCCTGAGGATGTGATTCTGACTCTGCACTCCAGCCTTTTCATTTCTGCTTGATATCTTTATTTTTGTACGGTAGCATATGGCAGACCCTTGTGCTGCAGTGACACCCGCAGCCCCCTTCACTCTCCACACTCAGCTGTTGACTTTTACAAACTCATCTCTGCCCGGAGGAGGGCAGATGCTCCAAAGAGAGCTGCAGGGGCTGGAGCCCTATCCTTTGCCTAGAAGAATGGCTTTCTTTAATGTCACAGTGGCCCCTGCTGGGGACATCAGTAATCAACCACTGCAGAACTTTGCTTCCTTCCTGAGCACCGGTGCCCATATGTACTAGCCCAGATGTATTAGCATTTGCAGTAGGACCACTCCTTGTCCATTCACAGTTGCAGGCAACTGGTCTGGGCGTTTGCCCAGAGGGCAAATGCAGGGACACTGCTTGTTTTTTTTCTTCTTTTCTTTTTTTTTCTTTCTGGGCCACCTGCACTGCTGGTGGAATGTCCCTGTGCTGGGTGTCACCTTGCTGGTGTCTCACTCCCTGTCCCCCTAAATATCTCTACATTGGATGGGTGAGTGGAGGCAGATGTGTGCTACCTTGTGGTAGGACGGGAGCATCCCTGCCTCAGAGAGCCAGGGGTTCACTTCACCGCTGCATCTGAAGATGCCAGGTTGTAGCTCCTAAATAAATCTCACACTTTCTTCCTCCTTGCTGCCTCTCATTTCGAGTAGTAGCCATTCGGTGTTGGGAGGCTGGACAAAAGGATTGATCACCTGGAGCCATCAGAAGTTGAGCCTGCCTACTGGGCAGGGATATCTCGTGCTGCATTTGTGCTGCATCCCCATGCAGGTGGAGCTACAGAGCAGGTTTGCTAATCGCTATCCACCCTCTTAAGCTGTAACAATGAAGACTGCCTATCTTGAAGATGTGTTGACCCTGCTGTGTCTGGGACATAGCTGGGAGGGAGGGCAGGAAACTTGCACTAGTTTGCCAGTGCCAGGACTGAAGTTTGGCCAAAAAGATTCAAACCCCAAACGAATTTGTAACAGAATAATCATAGAATCATACAAGTTGAAAAAGTGGACTAAGATTATCTAGTCCAGCCACCAGCCCATCCCCACCATGCCCACTGACCACATCCCTCAGTGCCACATCCACACGGTTCTGGAGCACCTCCAGGGACGGTGACTGCACCACCTCCCTGGGCAGCCTGTGCCACTGCAGCACCACTCTTTCTGGGAAGAAATTTTTCCAAATATCCAACCTGAACCTCCCTAGTGCAACTTCAGTCCATCAGCTCTCATCCTAAATAGTAGACAATAATAAATCAAATTAAAGAAAAAAAAAATCAAATTATTTTTATTTCTATTTCCAGAGTGGCCATGTTATATATATATACATATAACTACTTATGCATATATATATATATATATATATATGTATGTGTGTTTGTGTATCTTCAGTAAAAAACAGCCAAACCCATAGCAGTCGCTTTCTAAAGCACTGTGCCCCTAAGCTTTCTCCTTCACCTCTTGGATTATCTGAGTTAGGATTCTGAAGCAGCTGAGAATCCCTCATGTTGAAGGTGTTCAGAAGGGCCGAAGGGAGAGAATAGGAGGGATGCTCTAATAGTTCTACCGCAGGCCTGGGATCTTCTGAGGGGCTCCAAGAGCAGCAGCTGGGTGTTGTTCCAACAGGGAGGCAGGGCATAATGTTGAATCGTGTATGAGAGTCAGTGAGACGTGAAGAGTTGCCTGGCGGAGCTAAACAGCACACACCAGCTAAGAAAATAAGCAATTAGGAAGATGGAAGAGGAGGAGTGATGGGAGGGGAAGGGGGAAGAAGAACGAGCAGCAGGAAGGAAGAGGGAGGGAGATTGATTTCACAGTTACTGGAATCTCTAACTACATCAGTCACATTTTCTTTCAGCAGACGTTCCAGAGTAAGACTGTGGCTGAATCACATGGTTCATGGAAAGTTCAGCTCTTCTTGTACACAGCTATGTCTGCTTTCCTCCGCAGTCCCCAGTGCAAGCTTTTTTTTTTTTTCCACCCTGCTCAAAAGAGCATCCTGGGGCTGACAACATCCCATACAGAAACTCTCTTTCTTTAAGAGGCAAATGAGCAAGGTCAGGAATGAGTGCCATTGTGAGCGTAGATCTGATAAGGAGAAAGTAGAGGTGCATGTTTCTCAGCTCATGGTTTGGTTTATCCAGCCCAGAACTTGAGTGATCCTGGTGTACACTCCATAGTAATTTGGAAGCCCGCACCCCATTCCCCAGCTGACCAAACCAGCCAGAAACCATCTGCCACTGGGCTCCTCACAGGCCAGTGGACCTCCAGAATCACCCTAGAGAAAGGGAGAGAAAAATGGTGTGACAGTGACCCACCAACTTCTACTATGTGTTTTTCATTGGCTTTGGACTCCCTATGCACATATCTCCTCAACTTATGTCTGCGCCATCCACAACATCCCTTATGCCTTAGACAGATGTCAAAACTGCCTCCTGCACGAACATCTGATGTATTGCTGCATTCTTTCATCATGCAAATCCCTCCCCCTTAGCCAGCTCCCAGGCAGCTGGCAGATCTATTGTTTCCTTCTGCTATATGAGGCATTTGCAAATACATGGAGAGCGAGGAAGCTGGTGGAACTTAACAGGATATCCTGAGGGATGGGAAACAGAAGAATTGTTTGAGATTGATTTACTGTAATGAAGGAACTGGCTGGTTACTGTGTCTGACAGATGCTAGTGAAATGAGAGGGGAAGAGACTGATGTAGATATGTGACTTTGAAGGGGGAGGTGAAGAGTGGAAAATGAGCTGGAATGAGAAACTGAGAAGTTTCTGGGTATTTGGATCCTATCTAAGGCAAAAATACTGGGAAGAAGTTGTCCCGTGAGCTGCTTTAGGCCACTGAAATCTGAGGAGTGACTGGGGAGGCAGGTGTTTTACAGTCTTCTCTCCCTCATTTCAGGCTATGGAGTGCATCTGGGAGGCCGGGACACAGTTCACCCATGCTACCCGCCCTGGTCCCACAACCCCACTGTCACCTGGCAGGCATCCTTCTTGCCCTTGTAGCCAGCACAGAGCATCCTGGGAGAAATCATGTAGTGATAGGCCTCGCTGCAGATGTCCTGCTGGATGATCTGCACATCCACCTTCTGCAGGATATTGCTAATGTGCCCTGGGGGTAGAGCACCAAGAGCAATGCAGGTGAGAAAGGGTGGAGCTTCCCACAGCTGACTCAGTTCCCCCAGCCCATCCCCATCTCATTGCCTGCTGAAAGCTGCCACTTGAATTTCTGTTTTACTGTCCATGAGCATCAGAGTTTCTGACTCTCAGCAGAGTACTCCACCTGCCTGACAGGAATAGCATTCCCCTGCTTTCCCTACAGGAATATGTTGTGGGCATTTTAGCTTTTGGGACAAGGAGGATTCTGGTTTGGGTCAACGTCTGGAATGCCAATGTTTAGGTTTGCTTCTCACTGAAGTGAATTTTAAGCCCTTCTGGCTAAGTAATCCAAACCCAAGAGTTCTGGACAGAATCCTCTGAGTATTTCCATTTGAGAAGCAAAGGGAGGAAGTCTGATGGTGACTAAAGACACAAAGCTGAACTGAGTGAGCATGTGTGTACTCCTGTGCCATGCACTACTAAGCAGTCTGGGCCTATTTGGTGGCCTCGAGGGAAGGGAACGTGAAGGATTATTCCCATATACTAAACTCTCTTTTCCTCACAAAACAGAGTGGACTGTGGGAATCATGGGAACCTGTCTTGGACCATGCTGTCTCCCAGTGGTGTATGAGCTCTGTGTCTCCAAACTATGCTAATTGTGATTCTTGCACATCACTCAGACCCTGCACTAAATTTACTAGCACAGTACTACTTGGGAAGGTATGGCTGATAGGATCTTTGATAGGGCATCCCCAGGAGAGACAGTTTGATGAGGAGTAGTCTTTTGTCTCAACTCTCTCCATTTGTCCTCTCTGGAGGACAACATGGCAAGATCCAATATGCCTGCATAGCGTGAGGTTGGGCTTTGGGACTGGAGCTGCTCCATGATCACGGGTAGTCAGACTAATAAATTCTGCAGGGTTATTCTGGACTTTGCATGAAGGAACACATGCTGTCCTCAAATATCTTACTCTCAAACTTACCTCTTTGAAAGAGATTTTGAGATATTAAGCAGGTAAATTGTGACCAAAAAGCAAAGGGAGTGAAGGATGCATAATACTTTAGGGTGAGTGGAAGGCTGTTCTATCTACCCTACATCTGAACCTATGTTTCCACCTTGGTCCAGCTGCTGTAGGCCACTAGCAAAAACACTGCACTTACCACCTTCCTTGAGGGCTCCCCAGCCAGTGATCCAGCAGTGAAGGCCAGGCTCAAAGAGGTGGGAAGTGGCAGGCAAGCAGATGGGCTGGATGAAGGGCGAGATGATCACAGGATGGTCCAGCTGGAGCAGGGCCACATCATAGTCATGGCTGTCCTCCTCATAATAGGGGTGAAGGAAGAGGCGGATCACTTTGAAGGACACCTCTGTGTGGCTGGTGGTGTTTTGGAAGTATTTACCCAAGTAAATGGTCCAGACAGAGGGAGAAGCCAGTCTGTAGGATGTAGCAGAGAAGAAAACTCATCACATAAACAGGGAAGGATGGGAAGAGGTATCATCAGGATGATACCTCTAAGAAAATCCTATCTCCAGCAGGGCAGTGAGGAGCACAGGGGAACTTTCCCTGGGCCTAAGCAGAAAGAAGCAGGAAAAGACTGTTTTAGACCCA